TCAACGCCAGTCCACCCAATCAGCCACCCACTCAACTTCATTATTGCTCACGCAATCCAATCCAGCAACTCCAACCCAATCTAATCAAGCCCAAGTGAAACATCCAATTTTCGAGTTATCGCAAAACAGCAGCCTACGGAGCGTTCTACAACCGTTGTTCAAGCGAATTTCTCCAGCAATAACGAAACCACTCTATTACCCATAGCCATCGTACATGTTGAGCATCTAGGCGAATTATACTCACTTAGAGCTCTCATCGACCAGGGGTCACAAAAGCCTTCATATCTGAAAAATTTCAGAAAAGGTTGCAATTGCCTACATTCAAAGAAAACTTCTCTATAACTGGAATGGGCGGCTCAATGATCGAAAACGCTAATCGCGTTTGTCATCTCGTTCTTGTAGCCAAAAGAAACAATATGCGCATAGAAGCCAAGGCAATTGTACTTCACAAACTAACCAGTTTTCTCCCAACTTTCCCGATGAAAAAACCCAATGTCGACGTCAAAACGGACTTAGATTTGGCTGACCCATATTTCTTCAACCCTTCTCAGATTGATATCATCATTGGCAGCGATTTAATGCCACAAGTTCTGCTGGAAGGAGTCAAACATAACGTATTCGGGAATCTTTTAGCGCAAAACTCCATATTTGGGTGGTACCTCAGTGGACCAATGAACCGAGAGGTGTTATCATCATTCCATACTCACGTCATGGAGGACGACAGCGAGAAAATAAATTCTCAACTTAAAAAATTCTGGGAAATCGAAGAATTACCAGAGCATCATACACCATCCGAAGATGATGTATTTTGTGAGACATTCTATGTCAACACAACATACCGCCAAGATGACGGGCGATATGTTGTTCATCTTCCGTTCAAAAGAACATTTCCATCTAGTCTCAGTATCGGTCGTTCTCGTTCCCAAGCCATGAAGCAAGCCATTCGTATGGAACATACACTCAGCAAAAATCCCGACCTAAAAGAAGAATATACTCAAGTATTGGAGGAATACTTAACTTTAGAGCACATGAAACCAACCTCTTCTGAGGAAATCCATGATAATGGAAAGTATCTATCTTTTTATTTACCTCATCATTCGGTCATTCGTGCCGAAAGCAAGTCAACAAAAGTATGAGTGGTATTTAATGCCTCTAAGCCCTCCGAAACTGGACTTCCGCTCAACGATGTTCTCCATACCGGTCCCACTTTACAAACCGATTTAATGGTCGTCATCTTAAATTGGCGACTTTACCGATATGTTTTCAATGGAGACATCCAAAAAATGTATCGGCAGATCCTAGTACACGAACAGGACCAGCAATTTCAACGCATCCTCTTCCGTAGGAAAAATGAAAATAAACTCAGCGACTTTGCGCTCAAAACAGTCACTTTCGGCGTTAACTGCGCCCCGTATATGGCGATCCGTACTTTACACCAATTAGCAAAAGATTCCTCACACTCTTATCCATTAACCAAAAGTATTCTTACCGAGGAAACATATGTCGATGACATCTTATCCGGGGGCCATTATATCCCATCCTCCTTAAATGCACAATCGCAACTCATTCAGTGCTTATTAATGGCTGGATTTCCTCTGAAAACGATTACAGCCAATCACCCACAACTTCTAAAAAATATTCCAACAGAAGATTTCCTGGACTCCGACTTTCTTAAGTTTGATAGTTCCAGCTCCACTAAAACACTGGGCATACGGTGGAATGCCCTTAACGATTCATTTTCATATTCTATTCAGCCAATAAACCCATCAACAAGTGCAACAAAGCGTCAAATTCTTTCGTCGGTGTCAAAACTTTTTGACCCGGCAGGGTGGCTATCGCCCATCATTATTCAAGCAAAAATGCTTTTACAACAACTTTGGCTAGAGGGCACAGAATGGGACGAATGCGTGAAACCACTTTCACTGCACAAGTGGAATCAATTTGTCGTAGATTTACCAGCAATAGATCAAATTCAAATACCCCGATGGACAAAATTCGCTCCCGATCGAAAAATCCAAATTAACGGATTTTGTGACTCTTCTGAAAAAGCCTACTGTGCATCAATTTAT